TGAGGTCTGGAGACTGGCTAGGCCACTCCAGGACTTTCAAATGCTTCTTACGGAGCCACTCCTTTGTTGCCCGGGTGGTGTGTTTTGGATCATTGTCATGTTGGAAGACCCAGCCTCGTTTCATCTTCAAAGTTCTCACTGATGGAAGGAGGTTTTGGCTCAAAATCTCACGATACATGGCCCCATTCATTCTGTCCTTAACACGGATCAGTAGTCCTGTCCCCTTGGCAGAAAAACAGCCCCATAGCATGATGTTACCACCCCCATGCTTCACAGTAGCTATGGTGTTCTTGGGATGCAACTCAGTATTCTTCTTCCTCCAAACACGACGAGTTGAGTTTATACCAAAAAGTTCTACTTTGGTTTCATCTGACCACATGACATTCTCCCAATCCTCTGCTGTATCATCCATGTGCTCTCTGGCAAACTTCAGACGGGCCTGGACATGCACTGGCTTCAGCAGCGGAACACGTCTGGCACTGCGGGATTTGATTCCCTGCCGTTGTAGTGTGTTACTGATGGTGACCTTTGTTACTTTGGTCCCAGCTCTCTGCAGGTCATTCACCAGGTCCCCCCGTGTGGTTCTGGGATCTTTGCTCACCGTTCTCATGATCATTTTGACCCCACGGGATGAGATCTTGCGTGGAGCCCCAGATCGAGGGAGATTATCAGTGGTCTTGTATGTCTTCCATTTTCTGATGATTGCTCCCACAGTTGATTTTTTCACACCAAGCTGCTTGCCTATTGTAGATTCACTCTTCCCAGTCTGGTGCAGGTCTACAATACTTTTCCTGGTGTCCTTCCAAAGCTCTTTGGTCTTGGCCATGGCGGAGTTTGGAGTCTGACTGTTTGAGGCTGTGGACAGGTGTCTTTTATACAGATGATGAGTTCAAACAGGTGCCATTCATACAGGTAACGAGTGGGGGACAGAAAAGCTTCTTACAGAAGACGTTACAGGTCTGTGAGAGCCAAATACTTATTTTCCACCCTAATTTACGAATAAATTCTTTACAAATCCTACCATGTGGATTCATGGATTTTTTTTTTCACATTCTGTCTCCCACAGTTGAAGTGTACCTCTGGTGCAAATTATTGACCTCTGTCATCATTTTAAGTGGGGGAACTTGCACAATCGGTGGCTGACTAAATACTTTTTTGCCCCACTGTATGTGCACATGGGTTGAATGTTGTTAAGTTTTGTTGTGAGAGTGGATGTGGTTGTTGATTCTTCTTAGCAGGGTTCCATTTGTCAAAATCCTTCTGTGGAGTTTCTTAGATTGAGAGATTTTCTAAACAGTCATGAATTTTCTCAGTCTTCATAGCCAGTTGTATTTTGTATATGCTATTACAACATACTCTTACACGCATATGTACAATTGGCAAAATACCTTGTTGTAGTGTTGGGTATTATTAATACCAGGTGGTAAAAATAATATTCCACTGAGTGCAGAGTGGCCTTTGTGAACACCTTTCTATGATCCTGCTACTTACCATCATTATGCTTACTATAATATAACCATTGTTTTAATGTTTTCAACAAGTACCTTTATACATTCACACTCAACTTAACTCCTGTGACACAGAAGCTCTTAAGGACTCCACAGTTTACCACTTTGCTTACTTTAATGTGGGTCTGCCTCCCTAACAAGTACCTACATTCAGTTGGTAGCTTAAAGGTGCGATATAATCACAGTCCATGCAAACATGGTACTGAGCACTCAGACAGCAGCACCAATAATTAACCTGTTGTCCTAGATTTTTGCATTTAAAATGAAAGTCTTAGTGATACCTAAGTCAGGTGGAAGATAGTGTTGGTAAAACCCAACAGAAACCTTTCAAAGTACCATTTTTACTTTTTTGTAATAAAATATTATTGTAGTGCATTATTATTCTGCTTAGCACTACATTTGATATTTGGCATGCACACTGGAGCAGACAGGGATCAAGCCACCAACCTTTCAGATTATTAGATGACCTGTGCTACCTCCTGAGTCACACTCACTCCAGTAGTAATGTTATCCCCACTGTCATTTAAGAAAAAAAGTGTCAATAGCAGGCAGATAAAAGTTTACCAACACAGCTAATTATATGTATTGGACTCATAATGTTGTTGGTGCCACAGTTTCTCTGTCTTTTTCCATTGTTGAGTAATCCCACTGTTGCATAACTAGAATGTCTCCAAGGTGCTGAAGTCAACTATGGCACAAAGCAATAATGTAATTTTCCAATACAACTCAGCTTGTTTGTTAAATAGTGGCAACAGTCTTATAGATCCCATGTGCTGCTGAGTTACAACAGGCTAATTAAATAGAAAAAATTATGAATCCTGGTCAAAATAGCTAAACTTTTCTAATAAACAATAAATGCAATTGACTGTGATAATCTGTGCCGTGTTTCCCAAAACATCTACCTTACCCACACTATGTTGTGTTCCTTTGCCAAAGGGATAACGCATTTGTTTTTAGTGATCGAAAAGAAATCTTTATATTGTTTTGTTTTGTTTGTCTCACTGAAATCAGGCCCACTAAATTGTGGCATGACAAAGAACTGCCCATGTTGATATAGTTATTCAACCTCCTGGGAGACAAAGTCATCAAGCAATTAGACTGTGGTGTTGTGGTTGTTCTCACTGTGTGATTGTCGGCGTGCATATGTCTGTAGCTGTTATTCCACAAATGGCCGCACAAGCCGTAATATGCAGGTGGCCTATCTAAGTGCTCCCATTATGCCGTTTTCCCCCATAAGCATGGCACAGATGTTACACCCCTGTGGGGGAACAAACAGCAAAGTAAATGAGGAGAACAACCCATATGTGTGACTTTAACTATATATGAGTGTGCGCACACGCACATGCACACACACACAAGCCAAGCTTCTGCTGCATTATATCTTAGGCTAATATGTGCCATTTCTCTAAAACAGCAGGGGTGTTTTGTCCACGTGTAGACACCCGTGCTTATAAAACAAGAGTATGACAGCAGCTGTCAGTGTGCAGCGTGACAGTTATTTTAACTGCTGCATAATGATTAACCGCTATCTTGGTGTGGATGTTTGTGTGACTGATGGTTGGATGGAAAGATCACCAGATGCTGGTATCGAGTATGAAAATGGTCAAAGTGTGAATATCCTTCCTCTCCCTGTAAGTCTTATACAGTCCTATAAAACCTGCTAGTGACTTTATGAAGTTGAGGAGACCTGAGGTTCAGTGGAATATAAGGATATTATACAGAAACTAGAAAAGTTGAAAAATACAGAAAAAGTTTGTGTTCTCTGCTGAGATTTATTTACTGCTGATACACTGCTCTTCTGTGGAGTATCAGCAGAGTTTCATTATTTCATATCTGTTTTCTTCAGGAGAGGAGGAAAGTGTTGTGTATATTTATGGCTCCTATGTATGTGCATATAAAATACTCTTTAGGGCTTAGAGTGCTCTGTCAGTTTCCCCAGTTTAGTTGTCAGATACCAGAAGATAGTATAATCGTTATACTAACCTAAATTGAGCATGCATACTTAGCATACTTAATCTCACATCAAAATTCTTCATCTGTATTTTCTGAAGACTATGAGGTTTTCAATAATATCTAAAGAGCGCTATTTTGGCACCCAAAATTAAATAACGCTAAATTTAAATAAAGCTTGTTTTATGCATCATGAAATCAGTTAATCAGTGTGAGTTAATATTTGGTGTAATCAAAACTTAAACATCTGAAATGAGTGTAATACGAAGAATGCACATTGCCTATAGTGGTTGTTATAAAAGACCACCATTCACTTGAGATACCTTTACTGGAATAACATACATGACTCCCTGTAAAAATCATTCATCTGGAGGTGTGGCTGTGCTGTTGATCCTGTCCTTCATCTCGCCTGTAAAAAGATGAAAGCATATCTTCATTGGTGATAGAGAATGATGGTTATAACCATTAACTGCAACTGTAAGGCTGGTATTGTATTCACTCTATGACTGAAATCTGTCATTCTGCCAAAATGCAGGTCTTAAAGACATCTAATGTAGGGGGAAGTACTTTTGAAATCCTTTATGGATGATTTTGCTAATGTGGTAGACAAGCAAAGATTAGCAAAACTTTACATGTGTGTAGTTGGAATGCAAATGAAAGAGTTTGAAAGTAGGTTTGGACAAACACATATTTGATTAAACTGAAGAAAGGGAATTTTACATATACAGTAAATTGCTTTTATCTAATATATTTATATGTTAAAACTAATTATGCTTTCTTGCATACAGTTTTCTTCAGAAGATGTAATACGGCACGTAATAATACATGTAATACTATATTTGTGTGTGATTTTGCCAAGTACAGAGAGACTTGTAGAACAGTTACTTTTGGCAGCTTCAGCCTTATAAAACACCCACAGCTTCACTCACTCATCTTCTCTGCCTGCCAAACAAACTCAAAGAAGAAGAGATCAAAGGAAATCTAAACATCAAGAAACTAGCTGACATGTTGCTGAGACAAGGTGTTTCTGGTTCTGTATGTGTTTTACAAAAGTTCAGCCTGTATAGATTTTTGTAAAAAAAATAAAATAAAAAAAATAATCAAATGCAAGTTTCCCTTGTTAACAGTCCAATTTTACAATATTTTTATAACAGTCTGATACTTGGTATATATCCCCAAAAATGAAGCTGAAACGTCTCTATCGCTCCCTGGTGTCTGGCTGCAGTATAGGTCATAAACCCGCCTCCTCCATGTTAGTCGGGGTCCGACTAAAATAAATTTATTCTCCTCAGATAATATTTTTCCAAAGATTCTTTCTTTTGTTTTCAATAGTTCTCATCATGCTGATTGATGTCCAAAGGGGTCTCCTTTCCCATAAGTTTGATTCTAATTCCTACCGCGGTGATGTTAAATTGGGGTGAAACGTCATCATAACAGCTTTGACTGACAGCTGCAGTCACGGAGAAACTTGCATATCTCTGTTCGGGAATAGCAGATAGAACGTAGGCTCTGAGAGGAGGGCCAGCATTTACTCTACGAAAACACGACCGAGTGTTTTAACCTGACAGCCTGAGGTGTTCTTCAGTAAACTGGACTACCCGACAGAAGGACCCGAGGCCCCGCTGCACTTTTTCGGTAAGTTAAACGTGTTTGTAAGCTAATCTGTAACTACCGTCCTTAGCTAGTTCCTGAGACCTAGCTAGCTAAAATGAGCACTCGGCTGTGGTGGTTCGTTTAGCTAACCCGTGCAGGTGAATGAATTTACCCTGACTAAAGAAATCAAGAGAAACGCTCCGGGCTACTCAGTCACTAATTACTGTTACTGTACTTTTATTACAAGTATTATACTGTAAAAGCAACAGGCTGCACCCTGCTTCAGTTCCTGTGCAGAGCTGAATATTAAAGATGTGCAAAAAACGGCATGTTTTCAGTCTCTTGCCACATCTGTAAAGACAGTAACATTTTTTTAAAAGCTTGTACTTCAGTAACTCATTAATCAGGAACTATGGATTAAAGTACTGTAGTGTACTGTAATACTGAAAAAATGTAAAAGAACTTCAGATCCTGAGTGTGTGAGGACAGAAGAATCAGCTTTATTTCAACTTTGAGGGATAAAATTTATATTTAAGTTTGATGGTTCTGTTCTCTTTGTGATTACAAGGGCTGCCCTCAGATTCAGACCTCAGCACCACCCAATGACAGCAGACAGATCATCCAACATGTTCACATGTTAACTGCAAAATGAACTGATGAAAACAGTACAAAGGTTAAAGTACCACATGTGCTGTAGTGAAAGCTGCAGCTGTTTTATTGATAAAGTTAAGGACAAAAAAATAAAAGGATTAATCATCCATGTAACTGTGTCACTAGCATTAACAGGACCTCAGTTTGGTGTTTCACAGAGCTGCTAATCTCAGACCTGCAAAGCTTCTGTTTTAAACACTTGATGTACTCAGCTGCATGAAGAGCACGTTTGAGTTTCTCTGACACAATTAAATATAACCTGATGAAGGTCAAAGGTTGTCACTTGTATGTTGAACTACAAACTTGTCATCTGGAATTCTTTTACAGTTTTTTGCAGATGGTGTGTTATTTACCATAAAGTGATTCAGAGTTATTCATACCAGAGTAACCAGAGAGAATAATATATTTTTAAATATATAACTTTCTACAGGACTGAATATAATATCTTTATGTAAAAGACTGGAGCCTCTGGGGAGTATCCGAGTATTTATAATATTACACAAACCAAAGGTCTCCATCACAGTGTTCATGAAATGCTGGGTTCATCCATCTCCTGGGGCGGGCCTACAGAGGAGTGCTGAAGATTTCCCTGTGAGGGAGCTGCTGGTAAAGATCATGAGTCCTGCTTGATCAGTGTGATGAGCTTCAGTGGTCCTGGTGTTTCTTAAATGATGCCTCTTACAGTGGGTCAACAGAACTTATGGCACAGGACAGCTGTGATGAAAGAAAGGGAAGAAGTTTCTCCAAACCTCTGGACCTAGAAACCCAGCTTGGTCCTGATGGTCTCCCTCACTAGTTTTGCCCCAGAGTGAATGTAGCTGTTGATATAATATGGATTCTATTATTAAATGAAAAAAACAAATTAGACTACACTACTGAAACGTTCTGCTGATGTTTTTACCAGGCTGTAGAGGGCTCTGAAGATTTAAACAGTTTTAGATCCATTACACTCACAGTCTTATGTTAAAATCTCAAAGGACAGCATTATATTTTTGATATTAACAGTAACTCTGGGCATCTGTGGAGTGTGCAGCTGATCTCATCGCTGTCTAAAAATGGATAAAAAAAACATAAGGAGTGCTGAATCATTCAATAACACAGACTATTAGAGTAACAGGTGTGTAGCATCGCTAACTAGCTAGCAACAAGCCTCCAACACAGTGCGTATGCTAGTGGCTAATCTAGCAAACAAATTAACAACAGAATGATTTTAGATGTTTCAGAACTATAAGACGATCAGCTGTGTGTCTTTTTTAAAAAACAGTGACATGGTTGTATTTACCTTAATTAAACGAGTTGTCAGTCGCGGTAAACCAGCAAAAAACTTGAGCCGGGCTACGTAAAAAGTGTAGGGGGGCGTGTTTGCGGTCACGTCCAGCGGGTGTGTGAGCGGGAGCGTTACACAGTCGCTCCACCTCAAGTCACTACTGCGCAGACTCTGGCTCCAAATTTGCAAGATGGCAGCCTCCACAAGCGGGATATTTTGGCTTCATTTTTGCACAATGGGAGGAGGCGGTGTTGCGTCGTCCATCTTTTATACAGTCATTGAGGTCACCACAGTGCATCATCTGCTTCCACTGTGTTCTATCCACAGCATCCACTTCTGTCACACCAACTCTTTTCATGTCCTCCTTCACTACATTCATGAATTTTCTCTGTGGGTTTCTTCTTTTCCATCTTCAACATGTTTTCTCCAATATGTCCACTATGCTTCTACTCATTCTAATCCTGTCCCTCTTGGTCACTCCATACAAAAATCTTCAAATCTGCCACCTGCAGCTTCACCTTCTGTCTTTGTGTCATTGCCACAGTCTCCAAACCCCCACCTTCTTGCAAACCTTCCATTTAAACCTCGCTTCTATTCTTCTGTCATAAATCACCCGTGACACTCGTCTCCACCTGCTCCACTTTGACCTAAACCCTCTTCTTCACTTCTCTTGTGCACCTTTGCTTTGGATGGTTTACCCCAGCTAAATTCACTATCTCTATTGTCTATCTCTGTTGTTACCAAATGACATGTTGGTTAAATGTCAGTTTTAAAAAAAGCACACACTTTTTCCTCCATGACATTCCAATCATTTCTTTTTTCCAATCAAATTAGGATATTCATTTAAACCTTAATTATCTTTTGCTCTCTCACTCTTTTTCTCTCGTCAGGCTGGCTGTTGGGCCGTATGTGCAGCAACAACGATGTCCTCGTTGCTATGGAAACGTGAGAGGGTGAACTTTTGTCAGATGCCAAGAGCTTGCTCCAACAGAAAGTGTTGGTTGTGTGTGCATGTGTCTGTGTGTCTTAATGTACGTGCACACTTGCACATGGTGTCACCATGAGTATGTGTGAAAGAAAACAGTGTGCTTATCTTTGAAGAAGACTGCAAATCCCCCTTCGGTCTGTCACTCTCACTCCTCCAGCAGCGTGACTCTCTTTCTTTCTCAGCCACACTTTCCGTAGCTTCGATTATCTTTCATTCAGATACACCCTTGCCACATGCTTTCACCCTCCCTGAAGTTGACATAAAGAGACTTTACGTTCTCATCACCTCTTCTGCTCTCAACTCCTCTCCTGCCTGTGTCTTCCTGTTTCCTTCCATGAAAGTAAAACAAGAAAACTTGCTGTGTGCTTTCCTGTATTTCTGTAACTACACTCCCGCCTTGCATTGTTCCATGATATGCAGATTATCTCAAAGTACAGACTGCATTGATCTTTTCTGTCCTCCCTCTCATTCACCCCATGTCTCCCTCTATCCATTATCCTCCCTTCATTCAACTCTATCCCCCTCCTTCTTTTCTAATGACCTCTTTGCTGATTCAGAGACAATGAAGAGTTATGGCATATCTATATAGCTGTAACGATAATTAGGGGAAAAAAACTATTAGACTACTGAAAGATAAACAGCATAAGTACAGCACAGCAGCTGGTGACAAAAAATGTTCCTCTCAAAGTGTCTCGTCATGCAGCTTCTGCAGCATTTTGAGAAAGATTCAGGGGTGAGATCTGTGATTCAGAAGTGTGTGTGTGTGTGTGTGTGTGTGTGTGTGTGTGTGTGTGTGTGTGTGTGTGTGTGTGTG